GGGGGGGGGGGGGGGAGCCCCCCCCATGTCTCCCCCAACTCAATTGTACCTTGAAAAGGAGAAGAAAGATGGGGAAGGGGCCCAGGACCCCAAACCCTCCAGAGGCCGGATCCAATAAAAGAAATTATGTGGGGTTTGAATTGCTGGGGATGCAGTAGGATGAAGGTTTTCTTCCCCAAAAAAAGCCTTTTTCCATTAATTCAGCCCAAATAATCAGTGATTTTGAATGGTCCATAGGCATCCGTGGAGGGCAGTGCCCCTGTCCCCAAGTCCTCAAGCGGGGATGGTCATCGGCTGGGCGAGGGGCTCATCACCCACATCCCACAGAGCTGCTCTGTGGGATGAAGCCGGTCATCCCTTGGGGTTAGGTGGGACAACTCGATGATGACTGCCCCGTGCCTCGGTTTCCCTCAAGCACCTTGGTGTGGGGAACAGCTGGACCTGCAGCTGGGACCAGGCTGCCCTGTGCTCCATCCCTGGCCTCTCTGTGTGTCCCCATCCTAACCCTGACCCCACCAGTGTGAACCCCGACTCTCTCCCGGCGCCCCAAACATCTTTATCTCTTCCGTCCTGGCAGAACTCGGAGCAGCGCGACCGCATCCAGGCCTGGACCTCATCCTGCGGCGGGCTGAGCACCCCATGGCGGCCGGGCCAGCTGCCGCTGGGTGACACCTTTTCCGCCTGTTGGGATGGCAGTCGTCATCGTCCTCGAGCTGGCGACGCCTCTCCCCACGCGCTGGGCACGACCATCACCACCCATGGCCACCAAGCTGGAGGTGATACGTAGATAATTGCGCTTCGGGACATGGTTTAGCAGGCATGGCGGTGTTGGGTTGACGGTTGGACTTGATCGTCTTAGAGGTCTTTTCCAACCTTAACGATTCTGTGAAATCACAGAATCACAGAATGGTGGGGGTTGGAAGGGACCTCTGTGGGTCATCTAATCCAATCCTCCTGCCGAAGCAGGGTCACCTACAGCAGGCTGCAAAGGAACGTGTCCAGGTGGGTCTTGAATATCTCCAGAGAAGGAGACTCCACAACCTCCCTGGGCAGCCTGTTCCAGGGTTCCATCACCCTCAG